ACCCAAAGCCCATATTCCTTTTTTTTTTTTTTTTAGAAAAATGGTACATATTTATGATATACAACATGCTGTTTTGATATACATATATATAGTGAAATTGTTTCTATATATATTTATCTCACCATTACTTTTTTTTTTGGTAACGGTGATGAGTCAGGCCATCACAAATGTAAAAATAGGACTTCAAAAACCAAAGTGAAGCCAGGTGCAGTGGTGTGCGACTGTAGTTCCATCTACTCAGGAGCCTGAGGTGGGAGGATTGCTTGAATCCAGGAGCTTGAGGCCAGCCTGGGCAGTACAATGAAACCTCCACTTCTAAAATACAAACATATTTATTATCTCACCATTAATTTATTTTTGGTAGTAAGGGCTACTAAAATCTACTCTCTTCGCAAATTTTCAGTGTACAATACTATTAATTATAGTCCTCATGTTGTACATTGTATCTCTAGAGTTATTCATCCTGCATAACTACAACTTTGTACACTTTTGATCTTTGTCTTCCTATTCTTCATTCCCTGCCCCACCCTCACCTCTGGTAACTGCCATTCTACCCTTTGTCACTGTGTACTCAACTTTTAAAAATAAGATTTCATATATAAGTGAGATAATGCAGGATTTTTCTTTTTTTGTCTAACTTATTTTACTTAACATAACCAAGGTGTCTGTTGATGGATGAATAGATAACAAAATTATAGGATATCATTCAGTGGAATATTATTCAGCCTTTAAAAGGAGATCTTACTCTTTGGGACAACATGGATGAACCAGAGCCCAGATTCCTAACCATTCTTAATATATTGCCTTAATATTGTTCCATTTTATTAACAATTCTTTCATGTTCAATTTAATATCTACCTGGTTTTGTATTATATGGCATACCCATAATTTACTATTTGATAGATACTCTTCTAGCTATTTATATAAATTCAGTCAATACTAACAATAACCCTGTGAAAAAGTACTATTATCATCCCATTATAATGAATAAATTGAGGCACATAAAAATGAATTAATTTTTCCAAAGAAATGTAGCTATTAAGTGATAGAGCCAGATTTACAGTTTATGCAGCCTGGCTTTACAGTACCTGTACATAACTACTATACTATGTGTAATGCTTGTTTCAAAAAATGCGTGTAAAACAGAAACACTAAATTTAAGATAGCTGTTACTTCTGGGACATTCCAAGGGAAGATGAGACAGTGGAGAAGTATAAGTATTTTTTTTAAATTATTAAAGTACTGTATAATTGAACAACATTAAATTGAATATTTAAATGTTTAAAATGTAAAATTTGCTGCTTTTTGACATATACATACATTTATGAAACTGTCACCGTAATCAAGAGAGCAAACATATTTATCACCTGCAAAATTTCTCAGGCCCCTTCATAATATATCCTTCTTTCTACCCAGACAAACACTAATCATTGCTTTCTATCCATAAATATTAATTTGCATTTTCTTGAATAAATGGAATTAATTATGTACTCTGTTTTGTGTGGCCTTTTTATTTGGACATAATGATTTGAGATTGATCCATGTGGTATGTACTGATAATTCATTTCTTTTTATTGCTTAGTACTATTTTATTGTGTAAATATATGTTTATTCGTTCAACCTATTGAAAGGCATTTCAGTTGTTTCCAGTTTTCTGCTATTACAAATAAAGTTTCTATGAACATTAATTTAAAAGTCTTTGTGCAAACATAATTTTTAATTTATTTCTTGGTTAGATGTCTATGACCAGCTAGGTCATGTAGTTGCTGTATGTTTACCTTTATGAGAAATTATCAAAATGTTTTCCAAAGTAATCATCCTTTATATTTTCACTGGAAACGTATAAAAATTCTAGTTGCTTCACATCCTCATTATCAGTTGTTGGGGCCAGGTTTTCAATTGTTTATGTTTTTATTTTTTAGTTATTCTACGGGTATGCAGTAGTATTCTGTCGTGGTTTTAATATGTATTTTCCTGATGATAAGCAATGCTTAGTATCATTAGGGATACAAATTCTTTTTCTATGTAACAAATATCTTCTGTTAGTCAATGTCTTTCTTTGTCATTTCTTAATAGTGTCTTTCAGAGAACTAGAGAGCTAAAGTGATTTTTGGTGTCTCTTTATGAAATTCAGCTTATTAGTTTTTAAAAATATAGTTTATGCTTTTTATGTTCTATCTAAGAAATCTTTGCCTACTCAAGGGTCACAAAGAAATTTCTTTATATTTTCTTTTTTGAAATGTAATTTTAAAAAATATTTTTTTGTTATTATTTTTATTATTATTTTACTTTAAGTTCTAGGATACATATGCAGAACGTTTGTTACATAGGTATACATGTGCCATGGTGGTTTGCTGCACCCATCAACCTGTCATCTACATCAGATATTTCTCCTAATGCTATCCCTCCCCTTGCTCCCCAAACCGAGAGGCCATGGTGTGTATGTTTCCTTCCCTGTGCCCATATGTTCTCATTATTCAACTCTCACTTATAAGTGAGAACATGTGATGTTTACTTTTCTGTTCCTGTGTTAGTTTCCTCAGAATGATAGTTTACAGTTTTATCCACGTCCCTGCAAAGGACAGGAACTCATCCTTTTTATGGCTGCACAGTATTCCATGGTGTATATGTGCCACATTTTCTTTATTCAGTCTATCCTTGATGGGCATTTGGGTTGGTTCCAAGTCTTTGCTATTGTGAACGGTGCCTCAGTAAACATATGTGTGCATGTGTCTTTATAGTAGAATGATTTATAATCCTTTGGGTATATACCCAGTAATGGGATTGCTGGGTCAAATGGTATTTCTAGTTCCAGATTCTTGACTTGACACACTGTCTTCCACAATGGTGGTTAATTAATTTACACTCCCACCAACAGTGTAAAATCCTCTCCAGCATCTGTTGTCTCCAAATTTTTTAATGATCGTCAGTCTAACTGGCATGAGGTGGTATCTCAATGTGGTTTTGCTTTGCATTTCTCTAATGGCCAGTGATAATGAGCTTTTTTTCATATGTTTGTTGGATGCAGAGTGTCTTCTTTTGAGAAGTGTCTCTTCATATCCTTCGACCACTTTTTGTTGGGATTTTTTCATGTAAATTTGTTTTAGTTCTTTGTAGATTCTGGTTATTAACCTTTTGTCAGATAGGTAGATTGCAAAAAAGGTTTTCTCCATTCTGTTGGTTGCTGGTTTGCTCTAATGATAGTTTCTTTTACTGTGCAGAAGCTTTTAAGTTTAATTACATCCCATTTGTTTATTTTGGCTTTTGTTACCATTGTTGTTGGTTTTTTTAGTCATGAAGTCCTTGCCTATGCCTATGTTCTGAATGGTATTGCATAGGTTTTCTTCTAGGATTTTATGGTGTTAGGTCTTATGTTTAAATCTTTAATCCACCTGGAGTTAATTTTTGTATAAGGTGTAAGGAAGGGGTCCAATTTGGCTTTTGCATATGGCTAGCCAGTTTCCCAACGCCATTTATTAAATAGGGAATCCTTTCCTCATTGCTTTTGTCTGGTTTGTCAAAGATCAGATGGTTGTAGTTGTGTGGTGTTCTAAGGCCTCTGTTCTGTTCCATTTGTCTATATCTCTGTTTTGGTACCAGTACCATGCTGTTTTGAGTACAGTAGCCTTGTAATATAGTTTGAAGTCAGGTAGTGTGATGCCTCCAGCTTTGTTTTTTTGCTTAGGATTGGCTATATGGCTCTTTTTGTTTCCATATGAAGTTTAAGATTTTTTTTTTCAAATTCTATGAAGAAAGTCATTGGTAGCTTGATGGGGATAGCATTGAAGCTATAAATTACTTTGGACAGTATGGTCATTTTCACAACACTGAATCTTTCTAACCATGAGCATGGAATGTTTTTCCATCTGTTTGCATCCTCTCTTATTTCCTTGAGCAGTGGTTTGTAGTTCTCCTTGAAGAGACCCTTTACATCCTTTGTTAGTTGTATTCCTAGGTATTTTATTCTCTTTGTTGCAATTGTGAATGGGAGTTCACTCATGATTTGGCTCTCTGTTAGTCTGTTATTGGTGTATAGACATGCTTGAGATTTTTGCACATTGATTTTGTATCCTGAGACTTTATCAAAGTTGCTTATCAGCTTAAGGAGATTTTGGGCTGAGATGATAGGTTTTTCTAAATATACAATCATGTCATCTGCAAACAGGGACAATTTGACATCCTTTCTTCCGATTTGAATACTTTATTTCTTTCTCCTGCCTGATGGCACTAACCAGAATTTCCAATACTATGTTGAATAGGAGTGGTGAGACTCTGCTTTATTTAATCTCATTCTGCTATTAACATTTTTGGTACTTCACTGCTTGCTAGAATATCAGTGAGAAAAATGAGAGACAATATAGAGAATGGAGATAACACCTAAGTTTATACATTTTTTTATATAGCTGTTAGTTCTCTTGATGGAGATAATGGAAATTAAGTTTTATTATTATATTTTTTTATGTAGCAATTAGTTGTAATTTTTGTTTAAAACCTTACTGTACATATTCTTTAACATGTTCTGATAGAAGTTTAGAATACAAGAAGCTCAGTACAAACCATATATATCTGTTGTGAAAATGTAAATAAGATACAGTATGTTAGAGTCAGTTTGTATATAATAAAGCTTAAAGAAAATACATAAGTTATTATCATTCTCACTTTTCTAAGTAGGAAACTGAAGTTTGTGATTCTTCTCTTGGTTTATAGGGGCTTACCACAGATTCCATATAGTATCTTGCTCTGTCAAAGACACTTGTAGCGCAAAAGGATCTGGGCCAGAAGGGCCTGACAGAGAAGCTTGCACCACAGCCTGGTCTAGCTGAAAAGTTCTTACACTGGACTGCATTCAGACTTGGCAGCCCTATGGATTGTGAACACTGAACCTTCAAGTATTCAATGTTGACAAATGCTACTATCAGAGAGTATAGTATTTAAATGTGTGTACCATTTAGCTGCATGAACTTCTATTAAAACACAGTTCTCTTAATTTTTATTACCAGGTAACCTGGGCCGGGTGGACCACGTCTCTGAGTTTGAGTATGATCTGTTTATTAGGCCGGACACCTGTAATCCACGCTTCCGAGTCTGGTTCAACTTTACTGTTGAAAATGTGAAAGAATCACAGGTAAGGGAAATAATGGATACCTTCAGAGTGGTTTTGGTAAGAATAATATGCTTTTTCTTCTTTTAGGAATATCAAAATAATGACTGTATTAATAATGTATTCTTGTTTATCCATAGCAATGATACAGTTTTGGTTCAAGAGATACAGAGAAATAAGTACATTATGTTGACTTTTGTTAACTGATGGTTATTAAATAATATAAATATTTCATCTGAGAATAAAGTGTTCCTTACTGATTGAAGCATTAGCATGGTATGTTAGAATTCCTTGAGGGACACAAGAAGGAAACACTGGAAGAGACTTGCTATTATGTTTCCAAAGGATATTGTTCTTTATTGTCTCTTCTTTATAAAGATCTGTGAGAAACATTTCTCACAAGTCTCAGTTTCAGAAGAAAAGCTTTTCTTCTGTACAACAGGGTGTTTGTACCTTTAAACCAATGTGATTCTTATAACTGATCCGATTTTCCCTTTGCTTTGGCTGCTGGGAAACTCGGAACCGTATTTACAGCCGTCTCTAGTGATTCTGGAAAACATTTTTGCTGTGCTTTTGTGTACTGACTTTACTTTTACTGATTGAATATTCCTTATCTTAAATGCTTGGGACCAGAAGTGTTTCCAATTTTTTTCAGATTTTGGAATATTTGCATATATAATACATACTGAGATATCTTGGGGAGGATATACAAGTCTGAACATGAAATTCATTTATATTTCATATATATCTTTATACACATAGTCCGGAAGTAATTTTATACAATATTTTAAATAATTTTGTTCATGAAAAACTATTATTTTCCATTTATGGCATCATTTCAGTGTTCAGGAAGTTTTGGATTTTGGAGTGTTTTAGATATTTGGTTTTCAGATTAGGGATGCTCAACTTGCATTTTGAATGTATTCATCTGCTTTTAACCAAAATTTCTTCAGCTACGTTTTTTTAATAGTTCACATTTTTAATAATACTTTCAAATCCTATTTTTTATGAGAGAGAGTATTGATGAAAATAAAGAAAACTAAAAACATGTGCTTTGAATAAACATTAATAAAACCCAAATCGTAAGATATCAGTTATTATTCGGTTACATTGAGACAACTGGTCACGAAGACTGCAGAAACATTGTACACATAGTGAAATAATGATTGTTTTAAGCAGGTGGAAGCATAGTCCTGAGATCCAACATCTACCTTCTTTCTTAATGTTGTCTTTTGCTAGTATATTTGGGAGAAAGCAGGGAGTTTATCTTCTCCTGAGTCAATTCATTCTGCTTGCTCTTTCCCCTGGTTGTTTGCTTCTCATCATTTTATCTCAGCTGCTACTTGACTTGTGTGTCAGACAGTGGTCAGTGTCTAGAATTTAGGGACTCTGGGCCTTCTTCTATACAATATTATTCCTGACATACTAGTTTCAGCAAAAAAGGGGGTGCAAATACAGCCACTTTACTTTGCTACTGATAGTCTTAATTTTGTACAACACCATGGACAGAAGACTGAGTGTATGTAATGTTTAGTGAAGTTTAGGAGCTAACAGGAGGGAATCTAGGGAAACAGCACTGAACATTATTTACTAAATCTGACTTGTCTCAGAATTTTAGGGCAAGGGGAGAAAAAAAGAGTTACACCACACAGAGAGCCTCTTACGGACAAACTTTAGTTCCTAGCTTTGCTTCTTGGCTTTATTTACTCTCCTGTGACAGAGTTCCCTTTTCAGTTTTTCTCAGTAACAGTAGGCATTCTCTTTCTCCTGATCTTAGGAAAACCCTCACTTTACCTACAGAGGTTCACCTGATTCTAGGATTGTCCTACTTGTTCCACCAAGACAATCAATAATCCTTAAAGTATATTTCCAAAGTCTGTGTTACTGAATCTAGAGAGTGCAATCCACAATAGGAGACTTTAGTCACATGTATTAGACTGAGTCTTTCACTCCAAATTTGGGAACCCTAGGAGGTTTTCTTAATTACCTCTCTCAGTCTTTTGTTCAGGTTCCTGACTCTTATCAGTAACTTATGGTTGTCACATACGCATACCTCTGGAAAACAAGCAATAATTCTGAAGCAGTGTAGTCAATTCATATGAAGGAAGGAAAATATTTTCTTAAAAGCAGCATAATCTGCCATGATTTCTAAATTCGTAAAGGGAATTTTTTTTTCCTCTTTTTTGCACAGCATTGGTACATCCCTCAGCTTGCCTGCTGGATCCAGGAACCCACTAACTCCTAAGAAGTAGGGCCGATTACTTTTCAAACAAGAGAATCATCTATCCTCATTATGTTCTTGCTATTAATAGAGACTTAGGAGAAGCTCTGAAATTATACTGTTTTTTTAACTTTGGGTCACATTAAATACCTGTCACAGTTTTTCTTTCAGTTTAGTATCTATAAAGATTATCTTTATGGCCGGGCACGGTGGCTCATGCCTGTAATCCCAGCCCTTTGGGAGGCCGAAGCGGATGGATCGCGAGGTCAAGAGATCAAGACCATCCTGGTCAACATGGTAAAACCCCGTCTCTACTAAAAATACAAAAAATTAGCTGGGCATGGTGGTGCGCGCCTGTAATCCCAGCTACTCAGGAGGCTGAGACAGGAGAATTGCTTGAACCCAGGAGGCGGAGGTTGCGGTGAGCCGAGATTGCACCATTGCAGTCCAGCCTGGGTAACAAGAGCAAAACTCTGTCTCAAAAAAAAAAAAATGATTATCTTTATACAGCTTATACAAGGAGGGATAGAGTGTGAGATGATAAGAGAGTTGGGGATTCCGTCAGTTAAACTACTTGAGATAGCCTTTTGGAAAAGTTTCTCATACAATGTTCTTTGCTCTTCTAGTTTGTTTACGAGGATTTTCTTTTTCCTGTTTAAAATGTCTCTGCCAGAGTGTTATAACTTTCACATTACATGTTAAAGCTATACAGCCTCTTTTTCAATTTTATCTATCAATTAATTAAACAAGTAACGTGAATGTTTTTTAAAGGGTTATTCTTATAAGAGGGTTGTGTCTGTTTTATGGATGTGTATTTATTAAAGTTGAAGGAATCAATATTTTCCCTGCCTCTGGGTTCTGTCTTCATATAGAATGCTATCCTATCCTTGTTCCAATTAGAAATCATGAACATGTTTATCTGGTTTCCTGGAGCCTGATGCTTTTGTCAGCCTCTTTCTGTGGGCCATTGCCTCATCAACTATAATCACATTATATAGTTATGGAAATCTGTCTCAAGAAGGCATAAAGATCTGCAGGAAAGATTCAATATATATCTCTAGCTCACAGGATATTTGTTTTCGTGGTAGCCTACATGAAAGAAAATAGTTTCACTATGAAGTTTGACTTGTGAGGTCTGTTTTTATAGCATCTCTTTCTATAATCTTTTTTTTCATCTCTCCAATTTCCGTTAAAAGGAGACCTGCATAAATGTAATCTAGTCAAAAATGTTATTTAGATCTTGGTACTAGCAGGCAAAAAATAATATTAATCATCACTGGCTGACTCCATTAAATAAATTTTAAGAATTGAAGCATCAAATATATTGTACAAACAGGTCTGGCTTTTGCGTACATTTCTTGATGTTTCTAGGAAATAAAAAAAGCTTGCAACATATGGTTTTATATCCCAGGACTGATATATTAACCCCTGAAAGTAGTTGCTAAATAGTGCATTTGCAAGAATCAGTGAAAACTAAATGTCTAAATTCCTTTATGAGAAAGTATTTTTCCCTCTAAAAACTGATATTAAATATTTTTAATGGGAATTTATTATTAATGCAGCTGAGAGCAATTGTGTGATATGAAAGCCGATCTTCTTATTTAAATACACTAAAACTTCAGCCAATAAGAGAAAACAAAATGACATGCTTGGATTAATTAAACTCTATTTCTTTTTATATTCTTTTTATCTTTTTGAATCTATCTTTCCCATTTTTGATTGTAAAAATAGTCAATGCACAATGTAGTAAATTTGGGAAATGTAATTATTTGAAGCTGACAAAAAGCACTACCCACACAGAAATAAATTACAGCTTTACTAACTGGAAGTAAATACTATTATTTACTTGGCATATTTATTTCTAAACTTATTTATTTTCTATCTTGGAACATATCTAAATTTGTACTGTATATACATTTCATGTTTTGCTTCTAAAGAACCTAAATATTATCACAGGCAATTTTCTGTCATCAAAATTTGATAAATATGGCTGTAAAATATTAATAGCTCTTTACTCTTGCACCATTTTATTATTCTTGGTCATAAAAATCATTTTCCATTTGATGTTGTGATATGTAACAATGTAGTGAACATTTGATTCAGGAAATGTTACCCAAATTTTATTTTGCTTCTTTAAGATAAATTTCTGTGAGGAGAACTGATAGGTAAAAGGATATCAACATTTTAAAGTCTTTTAAACATATATCTAAATTGCTGCCAGAAGGCTTATACTGTTTTTTTTTTTTTTCTGTCCTATCACCAGTGAATAAGATTCCTTTATTCGAATTTCTTGCTTTGTTTATAAACTCCAGTGTTTACAAATCCATAATAATTGTTATGTTTTCCTTACTTGTTTTGAAACTTCACACAGATAAATGAGATATGATGCAATGTCTGAGGCCTCTAGTCATAAATTAATTGCATTACAGCAATAAAATGAGACATCAAAACAGGTACATTTATTATTTTGACTCCTTTTCTCAATTCATCTGTCCTGTTTTATCTGGGAGTGCCAACAGATTGTCCTCTGAGGTATGTAATAAGAGATTTTAAAAAAAGAATTGCTTAATAACAATATAGCATTTTTTGGATTGCTATAAGAAATAATATAGTTTAAACATACACATGCACACATGCACACTTTTATATAGATGTGTTCAAATTTTCCTTTAAGATTCTGAAAAAGTTTGCTGCTTCTTTAGTCTCCCTCCTGGATAATTCAGGCTCTGAAATTTTGTCTTGGCCATGGCCAAAACCAACAGTGCCCAAAGGCAGCATATCATAGTGGAATGAGCACAGACAA